AGAAATAAAGCTTTTCACCTTACTTGTGATTAAAAATGTTTTACACTGAACCACCTGCAAAACCAAAAACAAACAAGCCCTTCGGGTACTTACACTGAACTGTCACCCGCACCACGCAGCTCTCCTTCCCAGCCTCGTTGCCTGCCGTGCACTGGTACAGCCCGGAGGAGGACATGGTGAGGTTCTGCAGCAGGACGCGTCCCGGGTGGTTGTAGTCTACACAAGGAGAAAGAATGACTAATCCCCATGGCAGGGTTGAGATTTACCATTTAATTTATTGCAACATTGACCTAAGATTCTGTAATACATTTGGTAAGGATGAGACAAGAGAGTCGATCCCTTTTGGGAATGTGGGAAGAAAGGTGAACATGCTTTTAAATTGTAGTGCATCCTCAAAAGTCACTGTAGATTCTGAATATTTAATGGATACTAACAGTAATTAGATATAATGGATTCATATAATATATCTAATCTTTCTATCTAATCTCTTTACCACTTTTATTTTTGCCATTTGAGAAAAGAAAAGAGATGAAAAATGGAAGTTCAAAGAGGTCCACCAGTGTATTCAAGGTCATACTGTGAGTTGCTGACAAAAATCAGATTTAGAATTCATAGAGAGAGGACTGTCCTGTTTTCTCAGTAGACTGGTAGGAAGATGACTTACCAATCCTAGACTTGGGAGGAAGATGTTCATCCTCTCCCTCCTTCTCCCGGACTCGCTGCCAGTAATACACAATGGGCTTTGTGCCAGAGGATGACTCACACTGCAGAGTCAAGTCACTTCCTTCTGTCAGGTCTCCTTCCAATTCACACTTGGGCTTTGATGGTCTCACTGGCCAAAATAACAAACAAGTAAATATCAAAGATCTCCAAACACCTGATTCAATGGAAGAGCTACATGTTAAGTTGTTTCTCCAACCATATGGTCAACTGTTGACTGCAGATTCAATAGCTCTTTGTTACCTTGCCATGCTTTACATCACCCCCAGAAATAGACCCACTTCCATCCCCTGCACAC